CTGTCTCTTATACACATCTTATATGTATATATGTATGTATGTATATGTATGTATATATATAAATCATCAAAGAAAGGTAAATACAGTGTAATAAAGGACATGATGTCACCTCGTGTAGCATAGTTCTCAATGTGTAATAAAATGCCTCCGACGGGCCTGCGACCTCTCGCTGTCAAGGCGAGCGTCATAACCATTAGACCATAGAGGCTTCATGGTAGAACAGATTCAAATAAACGCTAGGTACTCTCTATTACACAGTAGGTACGGCTAGAAATAATTAGTAGCATATAATATAAATCAAGACAGTCGTTAACACTGTTAAATATCCCAACCAACATCTCTGTAATTATTTTGCCCGCTAGAAAAGCATTCTAACATCTTGGGGGTGGGGGCGCAGGCGAACATTTGCAAATGAAAGACAATTTATCTTTTAAATAAAAACTGTGATCCAATAATTTTGTTTATAATACTGAGAACAAGGTAAGATACTAATAAAGATAGTAAAAACTGACTTTTTTAACATACAATTCTAGTTTTCCACAGGTCCCTTATTATTATTATTATTATTATTATTATTATTATTATTTCTCATTCTGGACAGCGCCACTAACGAGCAAGTTAATTTTGAGCAAGATTTTGAGACAGAATAATCCGTTGTGAGTTGTGACGCCAAATAAATTAGGTATGGTGCGCAATAAGCGCATTTAACAGTGAGTAACTCAAAATTAGGGCCTGAAACCAAGGCTAATCAGTTCATGCTAAAATGTTTTGATAGATGTAGACATTCCTTATTCGACACGTATTTTAGTGATTTTTTTTAGTGTTTAATATCGTCACTGACACCACAAAGAGACACAAACTTTAAAAACAATATTTTTTCAATAGTTTTTTTCTTAAAGGTGGGCCAGGAGACCAGGGATCTCCTCTACCCCATGTCGGGAAGAAAAAAAAAACCTATGTAAGTTTTACAGAATATGCAGCTCTGGAATCTATTAAATAAGCCTTTTAAATCCCTAAATCTCACTGCCCCGACGGACGTCGGCCAACGCGATTTTATGAGGAACGCAACGCCACGACGCTTGCGTAACGGATCGTTATCAATGAGGATCCGTTCAGAATGTCCGCGACAATATAGAAGAGAGCATCGCGTCGTCTAACGCTCACAGGGAGCGGATTAGCTTCGTCGGCCGACGGTCGTACGACGCAGTGAGTGCAAAGCCGGGCACTCACTGCGGCGGTACGACGGCCTTCGGTTGACGCGATTCCATGGAGAACGCAACGCCACGAGGAGCTCGCAACGGATCGTTTTTAATAGAGATCCTTACACTAACGGCTACAGACAGTCGGTCGTAGGACGCAGTGAGTTCCCGGCTTAATTGTGTTTCTGGAGATTCGCCCTCCCTAGAACTCTCTAAGTGGTTCAGTGGTGGATTTTTGGTCATCTAGATGTATCGTGATCATATATTTTCTAGCTCAGCCCCAACCTTGGTGGAGCTATGGTTTTCTAGACTCTCCATCATTGAACTCTACCCCGGAGCCCCCTCTATTTGAAATTCCTGGATCCGCCACTGGGGTTCTTGGCTGTCTCACCCCCCCCTCCCCCGCCCCACCTATGTAAGCTTCAGTCGATAAAATTGGCCTTTCCGTCAAAGATATCGGCCCCTTTTCCGAAACATAGGACCCCTCTCAAGGACTTCGAACCCGTCAGGCAAATCCTGGCGTCACACCACTGGGGATTATATTAGGCCGTGGTTCTTCTTACTTCCAAGATAATTGTTAATCCAGCAAAACAGTTTAATATGAGGTAGTCTGGCTATGACAAAGTTATATATTATTAGTTATAAGGGACTGTCAAATAATCTTATTCGAAAACATGAGCTGATCAGTTGATAATAAATAGGATAAATCAATATGGTTATGAATGCTATTCTACACAAAATACCGGTAAGAAACCTTTTTGGCAAGATTACGAGGTAAATTGAAGGGATTTTATGATGAATTTCCGAAAATGTCGTTTGGAAATAAATAATAGTTGTAAATAACGTTATCCTTAAAATCAATTATATACAGTTATATAAGGCTAGAAGGCAGAGCCTCGGGGGCTTCGCCCTATGTGCCCCCTGCCGGGGCTTCTCCATCGGACCCCCACCAGAGCCCCGTGCGGCCCCCTACTAAAGCTTTCATCCCCCGCCATTTTCAAGCATGGATCGATGCACTTGGTACCCCTTCACCGAACCACATCATAAGGCAGGTTCCTTCTGGATCTCCTAAATACCCTTTATGGATTTCAGATCTTCAGACGTTTTTCACAAAGATGACATATATTTTGATCCCCTGTTGGACAAATTCTGGCACCACAATGAGGGAAAGGGGAGGGGTTTGGCCTCTCTGCCTAGGGATTAAGTACACTGCTGCCGCAGCCATATACTTGCTTGCGATTGCACTGGCATGTGTAGGCACAAAATATATTGCTCGACAAGTAGTAATGTATGCTAAATAACTTTGTCATGGTCAGACTACCTGGTACAAAACTGTTTCCAAGCTGGATTAACCATTATCTGGGCAGTGGCGGAGCTAGGATTTCCCCGACGGCAGGGCAAGGCACCCGACAGACAGGCAGAGCAAGAGTTATATTTTGGCGGAGGTTTCCGAGGTGGGTGTCCCCCCTCGCCAATGAAAAATTTAAGAAAATTAATACAGTAAACCGGTAGACGCTCATACGGGGTATCTTGACCTAAGAATGGTGTTGGTAATGACAAGTCAATCATAAAGTCATTATTAACCTTTCAAAATGTCATTTGATGGTTTTTTGAGTATATCATCGGCGTCCAAAATATTAATTTATATAGGCCTATCCAATTCAGTCCAACATCCCCTGATGAATCTTTCCTCAGTTCCCCGACGGGAGGGGGTGGGGCCTGTAAACACTCTTAATACGATGTCAGGCTGTAGTTGTATACCTACAAATTCCTTACTTCTTACTGAATACTTTGGAACGTTTTACTTTTATAATTTACAAGAAAGTACTTACCATTGGATTGGTGTCGAAATGGAAAAATTATTGTGCAAATAGTCAAATTAATAAAAGAGGAAGTATATATACTGCGTAATTAGTAAGTGGAACGTAACACTTCAATGATGAATCACTGATAGTAGTCTACTACACTGATCGTAGTTAGCAATCACAGCTTTAGTAGTTATAAAACACTGTTTATAGTCAGCAACACTCTGATTGTGTAGTCTGCAACACTCTGATTGTATACACGTGTTGTTCACTAACAGTCTGTGTAGTCAGCAACAGTCTGATGGTGTTGTCAGCAAAACTCTGAGTCAACAATGAGTTTACAATCAGCAAGCCATATTATGATTGTGAAATCAGCAATATGCTCTGATTGTGTAGCTCCCCAACACTATATATAGCCAACGAATATTGTTAGTTATGTGTGTCCATCTATTAAGTTTTGCCAGATGTATGAGGATTGAATTAATATTTCACACCTTTATTGTTGAAACATTATTGTTATTGCATTATTTACTGTAAATTGATAACCAAATAAATGGTTTTGAAAAGGTGATTATACACTCAACTTAAATTAACTTAATTTATGTTATGTGAAGACTGATACAATAATTATTATTATTATTATTAAAAATATTATTATTATTATTATTATATTATTATTTTTATTATTATTAGTATTATTATTATTATTGTGATGAAAAGTTAACACAAATATTTTCATAAAACAATATGGTGGCTAAACGAACAATACATAATTAAATATTTTGTTTAATTTGCCCCGACAAAATATACTCGTCTTCCCCGACGGGAGGGGGGGGGTCATGCTTCCCCGACGGGGGGCTATAGAGCGTCCCAGCCCGCCTTCCGTTGTGGCGTATGAAATACTGAATAATTGGTTTTAAGTGTATTGGTAAGAAATTTATTTGAGAAGAACCAGTCAGAAAATTTGAACAATTCGTTAGTAAAAATGGAAAATAATGATTTCAAATTATGTGATGAAGAAAATATTGTAGTATCGTTGGCGAAGGATATCAAATGATGATGAGTCCACAGTATGATGATGAGTAATACAGTACTTCTCATATCTAAGGACGGAAGGAAATACAATTTAGAGGAAAAGGAGAGCATTAAATTTTGAAATAAAAAGTGTAAAATCAAAATATTTACATTTATCTAAAGTATTAGATTGTGAGTTACTAATTAGTTGTCCTAAAGATTCATCATACTTGTCATTTTATTTTATCAGATTATTAAAAAGATTGAAGGTACTATTAGAAATCTCGCTGTTATATATTCCACATCAAAATTATGAAATGGAAGGGGTATAGATAAGTATCATTCATTCAAATAATAGCACAAGTTAGTAAAGCTGGAAGCAAGACATTCACGAAATAAAAATTATACAAAAATAAATATATAATTAGATGTTCTGGTTAACGTATTGGTCAGTATAAACTAAACGATTTCAGCTCCGCCTAATAAAATAATGATCCGCCTACAATAATGTATGTAGTCCCTGGATATATGTGGTTGCGATAGGTAGCGACTCCCATCGATGTAAAGTGTCCCATTTCTGAAGTATGGACGTCTGCCCAGGGAACAGTGAAATTTCACTGTTCCCTGGTCTGCCTTACTCGAATGCATTCGACATTACTTCCTTCAAATCCCGCTTCTTCGTAACATCTGCCCGTGGTAGATCTTCAAACACAAATACCGTACGATTTATCCTTTAGTGGTTTTGCTTTCTTTAGGACAGTTAGCCCCTGTTGTACATAAATCTCACAATAATGTGCTATGGTTTCGTTGACATGGGCATTTCCAAGGCAAATATCTTCTTTCAGTTCATTCACAATACATCCTTTACGTTTAATGAATGTTCCCCCTTTTCTCCAGTAATCCACCGTATCGTAGATTTTTACTCCACGAGAATGTACTTCAAGATTAAGAAGCCCAGATTCAAGCGTTTCGATTTTTTTTTTTTGCCTTTGTTCCAACAACCGTCATTTTATCAACGTCCTTCCGTGGACTGATAACCTTTGTATTGTTTTCCATTGAAACGTTCGCGTAAAATTCCAAAGATTTCTTCATCAAAATTTCAATAATGTACAATTATTTTTATAAAAAGAGAAGCAATAATTTTTATATTACATATTATAAAATACATTAAAAAGATTAAATTCATGTATAATGAATATGCAACTAGATGGTAAATTTAGTATTTAATGTGGGATGATAATTATTCACCCTTGGGGGAGGGTGCAAGGCGTGAAGTATACAAAACGGGTAAAGAAGAGTTTTTAGGAAAGTACTGAGCAGGTACGGCAAATAATCACTTCTATGATATTTCCTGGGTGATAGTTCGTGGGTTCGATTCCCACCCCAACCAATTATTTTTTAAATTATTTTTTATTATTGGCTTGTATATGGGGACGTACTGTGTATTCTGTACGTTGAGGGTTCAAACAAACGTTCATCGCCCTTTTTTTAAAGTTGGACCCAGGGTTCCATATACCGGCTACAAAACAAAACAGGGGTTTCAAACTTTAAAAGCGTCCAGCGTCGCCGGTTTTGAACGGACGTGCAGGAAAATTTGTACGCATAAAACTAGAGGTGATTTCCAACAAACGTTCATCGCCTTTTTTTAAGTTGGACCCCATGGGTTCCCCTAAAACCTACAAAACAAAACAGGGGTTTCAAGCTTTAAAAGCGTCCAGCGTCGGCAGTTTTGAACGGATGTGCAGGAAATTTTGTACATTTAAAACTAGAGATTTCCAAGAAACGATCATCGCCCGTTTTTAAGTTGGACCCAGGGCTCTCCCTACGCCTACAAAAAACAAAACAAGGGTTTCAGCAATGACCAGGGACGTATACTGGGGGGGGGGACGGCTCAACCCCCCCCCCCCCATTTGTACACAGTCTTAAAATGTTAAAGCTTGTTCTTGCTAGATACAAATTCTTTCCAAGGATCATTCAAAACTTCTAATCTATGTAAATATGCATCAGCAAACGTTATACATACGCCTACTATAATAACACATAGGCCTAAGCGTGATTTTTTTAAAAATCTTAAATCCGTAAGTCCTAAGCGGCCAGACCTTTCACAGATACAGAAATGTGATATCTTATGGTACAGTTTGGTTTTTATCGTTTTGCAAGCTCTATAAAGTTTTGTTTTAATACTACAGTACTACTAGTAATAATAATAATAATAATAATAATTATGATGATGATAATGACAATGATCATGATGACTATGGTGGTGATAATAGACATTTTTAATAATATTAAAAAGCAAAGAAAATTGTGCTAAAGGCCAAAAAGTAAGTTGTGATTTGTTGATCACAATTATTATACTGTATAGTACAGTTAAAGCTTACACCAACACTATATGTAGTCAACTAACGGTGTTAAATTTGCATGCGCATCTACAAAGATTTTCCAGATGTATGCGGGTTGGAGCAATTACTTCAGACATTAATAGTTGAAGCATTATTAAATTCTACAGTATTATGAATAGTTTATTGATAACCACTTAGTTGGTTTAGGAAAGGTGATTTCACTCAAATTAATTTCATATATTTATGTTAAGTGAACACTATGAATAAATAAAATATAATACATATGGTAGATTGTTTGCTCTTTCTAATGAATTAAGAACACTTTGGCCTACTGATATCAGAAGCAAAATAGGCCTATCACATGTGTTGCTTTGATTTTGATTTATATTTTTAAAATTTAAAAGAAACATCTGCTTAGCTTTATCTGTTATCTGTAAATTGCTAACAGTAATAGCTAAACATTGGTGATTTATAGGTCCAAGATTTAATTTTATAACTACTTTGCCTGTGTATCAAATTGGGCGGAAACGTAAGTTGCTGTACCTTTCATTATGCTGTAGCCTATATCATATATGCTTCAGGATGCTCATTATATAACAAAGGGGTTTATTTCCCATTTCAAAATAAAGAAAATAGCATTTTAAAAATATTATTGTTTAAAATTAATAACCCGATATATTATTAAGGCAAAAAAAAAAAAAGAAAGAAAATGTTGCTTGATGTTTCAAAAGGCCGTTTTCAAGAAATAATAGGTATCTCTCAAATTAAAGAATGAGGAAGTTTACCTGAGCGTTTTCAAGAGGGGGGGGGAAAAACAATCCAAATTTTTCCCGGAGGACCCGGGCACCGAACCACATTTCTTTTTGGGGCTTTTATGAAAATATGTCACCCCCTCCCCTAAATGTCAACCCAGATCCACCCCCACCAATGACTGCTACAACAGTTTTATTCAATATATTTAGAAAACTAATGCTAAAAGAAGACAACTGACTAACAAAGCAATTAGTATTGTTGCTTATCTATACACATAGGAAAATTAATATACTGTACTTAAATTAGATTAATGCATGCAAAAAAAATGCATTCAGGCTTTGCTGGACCTCAGGAATTTTTTTTCATGCATATAATTTCCTCCAGTTTATGATGCAAAACTACAATATAATAATTGCATATTATCACACGATAAAACAAACTGCAGATGGGTACACTCTTGTCTCTGCAATCCATGTTGACGTGTAAAAACAGGCACCAGCATTATACGCAATTAGGTACAGTACTCTACTTCCTGAGGAGTGATCCTTGTTATGTGGCGCCTGAGTGTTTTTTCCCAGGCATCATCCGAGTATTCCTTGTGCAGCTTCATAGAATATATTTGTGGGAATGGTTGGTGCAGTTGATACGACTTGGGATCATAAAAAGTGAGCACCTGGTAGGATAAAGCGTCAATGCACCGATTACGAGCTAAAAGTACTGTGGATTTCTTCCCCAAGGAAAATGTGTATGTATTCATAGGTGCTTGAATGACAGGGGATAATACTAATAACGTGAAGTGTATAGCCCCATTTATGGCATGAAGGGCTATATAAAAGCTGGTTATATATTTCTATACAAAAGTCATTTTCATTTCTTTCTCCCTTTCATTCTCTTCTTAACGCCTATTGTCTCCTCGCTGTCATCCAGGTTTTTCCTTTTTCCTTTCTTATCTTCTTTTTCTTTCATTTCCTATGTAAAAATATGAATAATAAAAAGCAGAGTTGTTAGTTTGGGACCATTATTTTTTTTTTGAATTAAAAACATAGACTCATGCGTCTTCCAATAAACATGTTTTGTGGTCTTGTAACATTGATGAAAAAATGGACACAACCCTTTAGTATAACTCGTTATGTACTTTAGTAATGGGTATGTAACAAGGAAATTAGTTTAGTCTTGTTGCCTGTCTTTTTACTGCTTCTTTAATAACAAGTAACTCACAATCTTGGCATATCTCTGGGCTTCATTGACACGTTCCATCAGCATCATTACTTCTTCCTCCTCTGTCTTGAACAGTGGTAATTGCTTGCCTATCAGCTGCTCAATTCGCTGATACAACTCAACATCGTATCTGTTTAAATACAAAATGAACAGAATGATCATAAGTATGTAGTACAGTTAAAGACATAAATTAAATGCACGATGTATTCCAAAATTACAATTCCATTTTTAATTTCATTTTCAATTTAATTAAAAAGAACAGAATGACTATTAAACAGCTGATAATCATCCCATATGAAAAACTTATTCTGTAAATATTTTGACAAAATATATTCATATCAATGGCATCTGACATTGCTACTACACCAACAAAAATCCTCAAAACAAATCAGGAGTGATGGCCTACTTTAACAAAGACATGCACCTAACGGATCATCTTTTTAATGAGGATCTATTCGGATTGACTGACAATCAGAATGTGGATTCATCGTACAGTACAACGAACTGAGTGTCCGGCTTTACTCAAAAGGCAAACCGTATCTATTTTACACAGATTTTTTTTTTCAACCTATTTTTCATTATAATTAATTAGTGATTAAATGAAAGTATCCTACTCACTGCGTAACAAACGTGATTGCTTTCCCGGATCTCCCTGCTCTTGCTGTTCGTCCAACTCTATGAATATAATCCTGCAAATAAGGGACATTTAAATAAGCATACTAAAAAAAAATATCTATACATAAGTCATTACATAATAACTATTAAAAAACACCTGTATATATTCTATTAATTTGATTGCTTGAAAACAGGTCACATGAGATTCATTTAAAAGACTATTCCATGATTATTTGCGTACTAGACAATGATCGTTGAATAGTACTTTTTCATCTCTAAGACGACAAAAATCTCAAATGCAACACGAGTGAGAAAAATTATCCTAGTGCATCTAGGCCACCCGTGACAATGTTACAACCGGCGCATCAACAAGGAGTTGGTCATTGAGTACCCTAATTCCGCTGATAAAATGGCAGTTCCAATTGGTACTGTGCCATTTGTGATCAAAGAAGCTTTAGAGAAATTACTGAAAGAAAGTGATGCCGAATCAACAAAAAAGGCAATAAAATATGCAATATTCGGTGAAAGATTGGATGTTCTATTCAACTCGGCTACACCTCGTTGAATAGAACATCCAACCTTTCACCTCATGGAATATTCTACACCATTTGTACTCATAAACATTCATTTCAATGACTAACATGACATTAATGGCATTATGTGGCTCTTCAGCAAAGGTGCAGTGAATCCAAACGAAAAGTTATAGCCTAGTTATAGTCTAATGCCGCTTAATTGTTTGAGAAACAATACTTCATCCACATTGACTCTCTCTTCCAGGAATTGAAGTAGATTAGAATGCCAAGGCACATTGAGAAGTGATACAGACGGGGGTTTATATTTTATATTTTTAATTGATGCAAATGTACAGTGCATAAAATAAACATAGACCCAAATTGTCTGTAACTTCATTAATCCAACCCAAAGTTTTTCTCATGTTCTTCTTTAATGATAATACAATTTTAATGCCATAGTAACCTTAGATTTTCAGTGTCCTATCTCTGTGGCTCAGACAAAACTTAATAAACAGCGCCCTCACCTTAGAGTGTGTTGGTATGTCAAAGTTGATGACCACATCTACATGTGGGATGTCAAGCCCTCTACTGGCAACGTCAGTTGCTATTAGTATCGTTCGAAGTTTGCCTTTGAATTTGTTGAGCATGCCTAGACGCTTGGACTGTAATTAAACCAAATGCATATTATTAAAGCTGCAAAAATGAATTGAAAAATTTTTAAAATTGAACAAAAAATAAAGAAAACTACAATTACAATTCAATTGCAAATTAACAATCATAATATACAAATTCACACCCAAAGATATCAATACCTGACTCATTTGTCCATGCAGTGGTATAGCCATTAGACCAAGGTTTCTAAGCATGAGAGCTACTCGCTGTGTGTTGTTACATGTACTGCAGAAAATCAGAGTTGAGTTACCGGCAAGCTCATTCAGAATGTACACCAAGTAGCAGTCCTTGAAGATAAAAAGCAAAATATATAATAGAACATCAGACAGACCATTCCTTAAGAGAGTAGCAAAGTAATTGGGGGAAGTTGATGCAAAAGTTAGTGTGCTCTAAGTATTGTTTGAAGGTTTGCATGGCGAAGTAATAACATATATGTTGAAGCTTGCGGTACACCACGTAGGTAGTTCTGAAAAGAACTGTTGTAGTTGAGAAAGTCTCGATTGGAATTGGAATTTCTGCAGATATTATGCTCCTGAAGACGACTGAAGCAACTCCATCGACTTTCTGAACTACTACAGTTCTTTTCAGAACTACCTACATGGTGTACCGCAAGCTTCAACATATACTGTAGTGTGTTCTACTTTGTTTACCGTTATTCTTCGTTATTATTATATTTGCTTATAGTCGGTTTTTCTGTTTTTAATTGCTTTTATCTGTCTTTTTTTTAAATGTTTCTTATTGTATATGATTGTAAGCTCACAGGTTTGCCCTCTGGGTCTGAGTCTGTTCTTATACCGAAATAAATTATAATAAAATGTAAAAGAGGAAAAAATCCATGGGAGATTTATATAACACAGCGTACATAAGAGAGAAAGTGCAGGGCTACAATATGGAATATAGTTTATTATGATTTCTGACAATTTCTAAAGTAGAATTTGGAATAGAATTGACTAATTAAATACTGTGTATATTACAATATTTTGCACAAGTAACATCAACAACAATCTACCATATTTTTCATATATATGTGATTAACATTTAAGCAATTGATCCCCATATTATACTATGTAAGCTGGGATAGAAGGTAATTGCACGTACTTTGTACTTAGCTGGTATAAATAAATAGCTCTGCTGGAGCTTTTCCACTGTCTGGTATTTTGTGGAAACTTCAACTTTTACTGGTTCCCGTAGTGATGCACGCTGTAACTTGGCAACCTATGAATAGAGT